TAACACAGACTTCAGTCAAACATGAGAACGTGACACGAACTGATGGACGACCTCACGTCTGTGCGGTCAGGAAGGAAACCAGCTGACGCGCTGCTTCTCCACCTGTCCGGCTTTTAGATTTGCATGATTAGACATTAATGTAGCCGTGAGGACGCCACAGAAGCTGCAGAAACACACGAACAGGAAACACTGACAGCTTTATCGTACAGATATTATATGAATTACATCTGTGCACAGAGCAGGCAGGGTCAGCTTTTATAGCAAAATAATGAATAAATACAGTCATGTCCACTGACGCACAGCGACTCACAACAAACGCAAACATGAAAAGTGTAGCACACGTGTGTGAGACAGCTACTGCTGAGCAGACACACAAAGAAACGTGGAGACTTCTTCTGTGGTTTGAAATATTTACAGTACGTAGTGTCTGTGCAGGCGCACTGACAGCCCCGCGGCGGTTTCTCTAATAAATACAATCTGAACTCTTAGTATATGAAACAAGTAACAAGCTAACAGTCGTGTTACTGAGGTCTGCTGTAATCTGTGATCTAACCCATGCAGCGTGTTTGTTTCAGCGAGCGCGGCGGGGAAATAACGAGCCCTTCGTGGCTGCACAGGCAGCACGACCTGCCCAGAAATGTAAAATATCAAAATCTTTGTTTTGATCTTCAGCTGAGTCGGGGTTTTGTAGATTAACGTGGGGAACACACGCCAACTTAAATCTTACACTCTGTCCTGACATCATTCACCTTCTGTTACTCTATTTAACCAAAAACAAGATGGCAGAGCCTGCAGAGACAGCAAGTCAAGGCTACATCAGGGCTGTGCAATATGACGAAATATATCGGACGTTGAAATGTTATTAAATAAGCTATCGTTTGTTTGTATATTCATAATACTGCAGTAAAATCCAGTGTTGACGGTGATACGTTCTCGTGGTTTGGCCACCACGTGGATGCACAGAGAATCCCAGCATGACCAGAGAAGACGAGGCAGAACCAGGAAGCTCAAACAGACGGACCAGTCCAAACAAATCCAGGACCGTAGTCCTAAACCTCGGGCCGCCTCTGTAACACGGACATGGTTTGGTTATGGTGCAGAGCTCAGACTCAAACACAGCAAACCTCTTCAGCCACACAAGGATCACGTGACAGAGTGTGGACAGAGTTTACGGACGAGAAGCAAAAACGAGCCGTCGGGTGTTCACAATGAACCTCAAACATCAGAACAGGCTCCTCCCCGCAGCACGCCGTCTAATAAATACGCAAAGAAACAACTTCTATCTAACACGGTTAAAACTCGACGCCCAGCTGGAAACACTTCCCACAGGTCGAGTTGCCCGAGATTCACAGAGTTTACAGAGAAAGCTCTATGTTGTGATATTTATCGTTATCAGGATGAGAAACGTCTTCAATCAGGAGATTCTGGTCATATCGCACAGCCCTCATCACATCTGATTCAGTGCTGCTAACGAGTACACATCTTTCTCTTCATGCTGACAAACAGAAACAAACTCCTGCTGCCTCTCTCGATTTCATATCTTCTCATTTCTGAAACAAACACAGGTCAGCGTCTAGAGCACGGGTCCCCAATCCAAGTCCACGAGGGCCGGTGTCCCTGCAGGTTTTAGATCTCACCCTGGGTCAACACACCTGAGTCACATGATTAGCTCCAGGCCTCTGGAGAACTTCAAGACGGTTATTTATCCATTTAAATCAGCTGTGATGGATCAAGGACATCTAAAGCCTGCAGGACTCCGGCCCTCGTGGACTGGGATTGGGGACCCCTGCTCTAGAGTCTGTGTTAAAGCTGTAAAGTGCGCCTCGTAGCTGGTTGCCCACGTATCTTTAAATAAATACATTAGCGTGGTCACCGGTGCGAACAGAGAAAACAACGAAGGTGACAGGAAGCCGACCTCACGGAGAGTCTTTTCCCACAGAAATGTCCGACTTCAGCGTCTCAGCTGTGTGAGTTTTCATGTG